TGGAGTTTTACTAAGCTATAAAGAAGAATTAAATTATGTCCTTTGCTGGTCAATGGATGGGCTGGGAAAACACCATGTTATGTGAAATAAGCCAGACTCAGAAAGTCAAGAGTCAATTGTCTTCTATTGTATGCAGAAGCTAGAGAGAGGGAAGGTACAGGATTATGAAAAAAGAAAGAAAAAAGAAAAGAAGAGTGGTGGTGGGGGGGAAATTTCAGGAAAATAGAAAGAAATTTTCAATAGAGGAAGGGAATTGAGAGGAAGAGAGGAGGGAAGGGCATGGGGAATTATTAGGGAATGAAATCTACCAAATTAGGCAATGCTTATTACAAATATACCACAATGAATAATACATATATATGTATTATTTATTGTGTAATATTCTTATATTATTCATTGCATGTATATATGTATTGTATGCATATATTTATATAATATATATATACGTATGTATCCGAAATTATAATGCACTAGTTAAAATAACAGTAACAACAATAGAAGGGAGATCAGTAGAGTAGAGCAAGTGGATGGGGAAGGGAAGAGGGGAGGAAAAGGAAAGGCACTCAAAACTCATAACTTGAGATTGGTCAAATTATGTTATGTGCATGTATAAATATGGCAAAAGGGATCCAGTATTATGTATAATTTTCAAAATAAATAAGACAGAGGAAGGATTAATGAAATAATGAAACTGTTCATTTATCATTTTGTTGATTATTATTCTAGAGCTTGCTCTAAATGGTACCCTGGGGTTCTGAAAAAAATAATGAATGTAACCTAGCCACCTAGCACTGACTTAGGGCTGAGGACTGCTAAATGGAAGCAGGAGGTGTACAGTGTTTTGCATTTGAGAGACTCCCGGTCCGAGGTGATAATGTAACAACAGCAGCAGCATGAATTGGAAATACTTACTGCACATCAGACAATGTGACAGGGGCTTCTTATGTATTATTTGAGAACCTCACAGCAATCCTGATACTTAGGAATCATTTCTTTCATTTGATTGTTGAGGAAACTAAGGGCCAGAGAGGCTAGGTAACTTGCCAAGATTACACAGCTAAGAAGTAGTAGCTATCTGCCATTCTGACCTATGTCTGTAGGATTTAGAAGTCCCTGCTATTTTCACCCTATCTTTAGAAAGAAAGGATTAAGAAATAGAAATAGAGATAGCAAGGAAAGGGTTAACTTTCGTGGGAGACAATCAGGCCTAAGGTGGAGGAATTGCTGTGAACTGCTCATATGAGAAGTTACAAAAAAATAAATATTCCAAATTAATATTTTAGCTGTGTTTTGAGCTCATTGCTGTTAGAAGGTACTGCACTAGAACACATGAATTCATAATAAAGGGCTAGCTCTTCTGCAGTCAGTCCCAGTTTCCTCAAATTAGTTTTCAAAAATAAACCTATTGTGTTACTTTGGATTACATGGCTCAACAACGTCATTTTTTTAGCCAGTGTGAGTGTTTTGGTTCTAAGGAGATTTTCACTTTTGCTGATTGCCATCAGTGGTACAAAATGTACAAAGGAGAAAGGGTGGTGTTGGGCAGAGCCGTAATAATCCCTTTTTCTATGGTGCTTATATCCAAACGCAATGGGAACTAGCACACTTTGAATGTAGACACACACACACACATACACACACTATTCAAATGAGTTGGGAATACACTATATGCAGATATACATTTGTTAACCCTGAAATCCAAATATAAATTATTTGAGATACTCACTGAGTTCAAATAATTCACCCCTGAAGCCAGCTATAGATTGAGGGGTAGTAGACACTATAGCCTGGGCAGCTAATGGGGAAAAGAAGCAATGACTTTTCTTAATGAGGCTTTCACAAACCACCATTTCCTGTTGTAGCAAAAACAGTGAAATCACCAAAGGAATTTAGGACCTTGAAGAATACTCAGGGATTATAGAAAGGGATTTAGATATCAGATACTTTAAAAAGATTCTAAACTATATTTATTAAATTTAAAGAAGGGAAATTTCCTACACATACATAGAACAGATATATAATTACACATAACATATATAAATGCATACTATGTATACAAAATGGACATCTACAGACCATATGGCTACATACATGCTTATCATACGGGGGAGTTAATTTCATAGCAACCTTTTCATGTAGAAAATTATCTCCAATCTGGAAATTATGAGTAAGGAAGTTACACTCTGTCATTGCAAGTGATGACATAGTGATAAGTCAGGGTGTAATCTCAGAGGAGATATTGTATCAACCCAAAGTATGTGTGGGTGACCTCTGTTCCTGAAGGGAATCAAGAGGTGCTTATGAAGACATAGCAATAAGACATGAGGTTAACAGATAGGAAAGAGAGATGCGATGTATTCTCCTTATATTACTTTCTCTAACATATTTTTTAAGGATTAAAAAAAAAACAGAACGAAGATGACACTATCTGAAACAGTATGCTTGAAACCCAATTTTTAAAATTTGTGGTAGGAATACTTCAATAAGACAGACCATAAGGTTCTTTTTCTCTTCCAAATGCTTCAAATTAGAAGTGACCATTCAGAGCAGGTTTGTTTTCTTGGCAAAATGCTACACACACACACACACACACACACACACACACACACACACACCTCCCTCCTTGCAACCACAAACTAAAGATGCTAAGAACCAAAGAATATATTAAAGCAGCATTTTACCTTTTTGCTGATCGAACACAGAAGAGGTGCTGAAATCCATGGTAGCCTGTCTCATCATCTATCATCAGAGTGGCAAAAAACATCCAGGTCTCTAGAGAGTAGAAAACACCATCTCGCACGTTGCAGTCAACACAACAGTGAGATGTGGTATCGCTGGCCAAGACCCCTATTGGAGAATTGAGGATACATTAGAGCTGCAGGTTGTTATCAAGGCAAAATAATGAAAATAGGTACATATTCCTCCTGCCAGGAAAAGAGTTACTCTTACAGCCTCATTCACTGGATATACTTGTGTGTAAGAATTATGCACCCTCTACCCCAAACAGATCAATAAAACAGCCCAAATCTTTAAAAAACAGTATCTGTGGAGGCCACCTGCCTTGGAACCAGGCCAGGAAACCGCAGCAGGTCACAGAGCTTCAGCAGCTGGAATGTAGCTTTAAACCATCAGAAATCTCAATGGGTGAGTGAGGATTCACAGGGCCAGACAGAGCATGTGCAAAGCTGCCGATGCAGACTGCATTCGGCAGTGTTCCTGGTGGAGTGAGAACTGCATTTGGGTCATGTGAGCAGAGAGTGCCATCTCAATGGAATAGGACGTAAATATTGTAGCAGGCGTCTGCTGGCCATGTGCTGTGCGGAATAATTACCCACTTTAGCACCTGACTTCAGGCTCCCTTCAGCACTGGTCTCTGATTGACAGGGAGGTTGGGCTTTAGAAGAAGCATTGGAAACGTTATGTTTCTAGGCTCAAGAATTTGTGATGACAAAATTAAAACAGTCTGCAGTCACAAGGGTGTATATTGCAGCATTGCGTGGTAAAACCTGAAAAATCACTCAAATATATATCACTTGAGGAGCAGCTGAGTAAATGGCAGTACATTTATACTTTAGATTGAAAGTGGAAGGTAAGTAAATCTACATACATTCAGCTGCTTGTGATGTAACTAATCTATTGTTAAATGAAGCAAACAAATTACATATTTTATTTGGTTGTGTTTTTATAAAACCAGTGACCACTCATTGCATTATAAGTGTTTATATACATTTAGAGAAACACTGAGAAAGACACATACTAAACTGTTGATACTGATTACCTCAGGAGACTGCAATTACCTGTTCTTTATCAATCTCTGTATTTTTTGGCTTATTATAATAAGTATGTTTTTTATATTTGCAACAAAAATCTAATCTAATCTATGTATCTATATATCTCTCTATATGTGTATATATATATATATATATATACACACATACATATTTTGTACTGGGAATTAAACTCAAGGGTATTCAACCACTGAGCCACATCCCCAGCCCTATTTTGTATTTTGTTTAGCGACAGTGTCTCACTGAGTTGCTTAGTGCCTCACTAAGTTGCTGAGACTGGCTTTGAACTCCCAATCCTTCTGTCTCAGCTTCCCGAGCCTCTGGGATTACAGGCATTTACCACTGCGCCCAGCCTAATATAATAAATTTAAATGAACCAGGCTCTACATTCTAGACACAATCATATTTTTGGATGTGTCAAACAGCCATATGGTAGCTGTTCTCATAAATGCTACTGATAATGTTAAAGAGCTGTTTTCTTTTTAACTAATTAGTGCATGAATTTGGAAATAAAATCAGAAAGCATTTTCTCTGCATATATATACTTTTATTTATACACTTTCATTTATTTATTGTTTTTCTGATCCTGGGGATGGATCCCCCATGCTAGTCAAGCACATTACTTCCAAACTACATCCCTAACCCTCACCTCATTTGTTTTGACCTGGACTGATGTGATTTCTCATTTGTGTTCTTTGATAGGTAGGTTCCTTTTGTATGTCTTACCTCATGGTTTGTGGAATGGTCCACAAAAAGTTACGTTCAGGTTAAAAACCTCAGAACTGGTGAATGTGACTTTATTTGGCAAAAGGGTTTTCTCACATGTAAGTTAAGGAGTTTATTATGGTTTGGATATGTGGTATCCCCCAAAAGTTCATGTGTGAGACAATGCAAGAATATTCAGAGGAGAAATAACTAGACTAACAAAGATGTAACCTAATCTGTGGATTAAACCAGTTGAGTGAGTGGCATAACTGAGTGGTTACTGTAGGCAGGTAGGACGTGACTGGACTAAAAAAGTCACTGACATTGTGACTTTGGGGTTTATATTTTTGTCCCTGGCTCCTTGCTTTCTCTGCTTCCTGGTTGCAATGTCCTGAACTGCTTACCTCTGCCATATCCTTCTACCATGATGTCGTGCTTGTCTCCCTTCCAGAGCTATAGGGGCGGCTGACCATGGACTGAATCTCTTCTCTAAATTGTTCCTGTCAGGTATTTTGATCACAGTGATGCAAAACCTGCATAAAATAGAGCTCAAGTTAAAACTTTCCTGAGTTCTCTGGGTGGACCCTGCATCCAATGACAAGTGTCCCTGCAAGAGACACACATAGAGAAGAGAGGAGGCCATGGGAACACAGAGGCAGAGATTGGATCCAGCCATGAACCAAGGAATACTGGTAGCCATCAGAAGCAGGAAGAGGTAAGGAAAGGACTGTCCTTGAGAACCTTTGGTGGGAGTGAGACTCTGCCAATACCTTGGCTTTGAGTTTTTGGTCTCCTGAACTGTGAGAGAAAAACTTTTCTGTTTTCTGAATTCACCAAGTTTGTGATAATTTGTTACAGTGGCTTCGGGAAATTGAAACTGAGGCAGAACCCAACTCTTATATGCAAAAATCTCCAAAACTATTACATTTCTATTAGCATTTATCATTACCCAAACCAAATTAAAATGTAGAGACATGTCCATGTTTGTAAAAGGACTGCTTTGGGGTCAAAGATAGTCAAATTGAATGGAAAAGACATGAGCTTGAGTTTGTCTTTTGTTAGTGTGATTTGGGCAAGCTACATAATTGTTTAAGACTCAGTGTCTTAATCAGTGGTGTAAGAACTCCATCCCTAACTTCTTGTGAATTGACTGTGGTAATTGTTCAGTCCACTTCCTGGGCTCAAACCTAGAGATCTTTCTTTCCAACCAAAGCCCAATGTAAGATAATATTTAGTTGTATCTTGCAGTGCATTTTGAATGCAAGGTGTGTACCCAGCACCACATTCAAAATGTAGAATACTTCTATCACTCCAGAAGGTCTCTGGAGTCCCTTGCATGCTGTCCCCTTGCATGTGGAGCATGAATTCTTGGGGAAATTCTTGGTCTCCAGAGACCTAAGGGGAAATCTCCAAATAACCATCTTCTATAAATTATACCGGTCTTGCAGATTAGGATGGGGTCCTCATTCCCAAGTATTGAAGATTAAACACCTGAGAAATGCCAAGGCAAGAAAACAAATTTTATTTAAATAGAACAGAAACAGACTTCTCCAAGAAGGGAAGGGGACCCATAGTTAGTATCCCTGGGATTGGTGGTGTCTTCCATTTTTATGGACCCCCACAGCCTATCTTTCTGTCCATATGCCCAAAAGGCAGGAAAGAGTAACCCCAGGGGGTAATTATTTGTTTTAGAAAGTGGGATCCTTCCCCTCCCCTGGAGATGTTAGCAACTGGTTGATGGGCAAGTGCTATTTATTTTCTTTTCTTTGATAATCAGCTATCTGTCCTTTGCACCTGTCTCATAAGAATACAGACACCCTTCCCTTACCAGAGCAGAAAGATGAACCTCTTCATATCCTTCTACTCTGTTGATAATTGACGCTGTTGCTGCATGTTTGCTAGGCTTCCTTGCCCAGATGAAATACAGAAAGGATTTCTCACCCTGTTCCCATACTTGGATATATTCAGGCTCATATTTTTGCTAGGCTTTGCTTTTGTCAAAACTCAGAATAATTTGACCTTCATTTAAAAATCCCAAACAGATATCTTTGCAAACTTTTTTGTTTCTCTGAAATGCATTTGTTTCATTACTACATTCCCATCTCAGCTGGAAACCTTGGGGATTTGCATTCAATTGCATCTGGATGGTGGCCACTTCCTCAGCAAACCAATGGATTGGGGAAAATACAAAAAGCAGAACAACAAAAGCAACCCACCATGCTTTTAAATATCTGCCTGGATGGAGAATTTGCCAACATCTCAGAAGTGTTTTTAAGAAGTTCAGACTTTGACCACATATTGGCTACTTCTATTTTTAACTTGTGAATGATCAGCTCAAATGAAGTTCTGCGGTTTGAATTAAGTTATCACTTCATAGAGATCTGGTTCCAGCGATCTCACTCCTCCCCTCTGTTCCTTCCTGGCAGCCTCTGGAGTGTTTAGGAGAATGTTTCTTTGCATTAATTTTTTGAGAGGAAGTCCTTGAGAGGAGTGTAATTGAACTTGGCTCCTCAAAGTTCCTTGTAGAATTAGAGAAGAAAAGTATGAAGTTGCCAAGAAGGTTAATGGAAGAGAAGCCTGTGGCTGTTTGACTGCTTAAATTAGTTGCTAAGGAGGCAAAAGTTTCACTCTGAAGAGTTGCTTTCTTTTGTGACCATAGACTATACCACTTCCTGCCACAAAGGGAACATAACATTGAATGTTTTGTTGTTTCAGTGCCAATCCCTGCCAACTGCAAGAACAACTTACAATGTGAGACATTCTTGGTATACAAGAGCCCCAATTTGATCATTGTAGGTTAAAGCAATGCTTCTGAAAATTTTAAAATATATTTTTAGCTGTTGATGGACCTCTTTATTTTATTCATTTATTTATATGCACTGAAAATGAACCCAGCGCCTCACATATGTTAGGCAACTGCTCTACCCCTGAGCTACAACCCCAGTCCCACTTCTGAAATTTTAATGGGTGCACATATTAGCTGGGGACCAACTTATGGTGCATATTTTGATTTAATAGATCTGGGTAGGGTGCTAGAGATTCTAAATTTCCATCAAATGCCCAGACTATGCAGGTAGTTGTTTCATTCTGGATGTTGTAAAAAGCTAGAATGTTTTTCAAAGGTAAAAACTACACCCATTTTTATAAAGAGGCTTACTACTGTCTTGTCACAACCCAGTTGTGTCAGCACAGTGGAGTAGGTAGTGGGAAAGCCAAATAAAGTGTCCAGAGATAGCATGGAAAACATGGTTTATTAGGAAAAGCTTGTAAGAAATGGAAGACTGCCCAAAGAAGTCTGTCAGTGGCAACAGGCTGACAGATAGCACCTCCATCCCTCAAGGTACTTTGCCAAGCAGTGTCCCCTCTCCCTAAGGTCTAATGTCCATTGATGGCTGGCTAGATGAGTGACATGCATCCTTTCCGTAGTGTCTTCAGTTCTGCTTCCATCCCCAGTAAGAGAGGGGCTTATATGTTATGCTGCAGAAGCAGTGACATCATTAGCATTAGCTTGCTTAATTTGACAAGCATCCCAAGGAGCAACCAGCCTGGTATATATGTAAAAAAGTGGCTTTCTACAGATAACACTAACTTGCTCTAGTTCCCAGTGTGCATGAGAGAAATCCTGTGTTATGTATCTGAATTTTTTTTTTTATCTAGGCCTGCACTCTTGTTCCCCAAACTTGGCTAGGTTTTGGGAACAGAGAGGGGGCATTCACGATATGGTATTTTACTACCCCTTCCCCTCCTCTGCTTTAGGGACAATTTAACTAAGGAATAGTAAAAACACAGAAATATAAACTAAGCCCCCAAAGAGCCTCAAGAAACAAATCTGTATCAGAAGTTAGCCAGAGATGGAGATTGGCTAATGACTGGGAAATATTACTGCCCTGAACTTCTGCAGCTATTTTTTTAAAGAATTTTTAATATTTATTTTTTAGTTTTCAGCAGACACAACATCTTTGTTTGTATGTGGTGCTGAGGATAAAACCTGGGCCGCACACATGCCAGGAGAGCACGCTACCGCTTGAGCCACACCCCCAGCCCTTCTGCAGCTATTTTAATGAGTAAAAATGGAGTTGTCTTGGGGCTAGATGTTATCTGAGCTGTATATATTGAAGCTTCCCTTAGAATTTTGCCCCATTCTAGCTCCACACACGTGGCCAAATTATAAATCTCTCTAAATACTTCTCTGAATATACAGGCTGAAGATAATAATGGCACCCCCAAAGGTGGTTGTGAAGATGAAATGGGATGACAAATGGTAATGTGCCCCTGCTTGGGTTTAGTCTTGGTAGCTTAGAATCAGCTCAGTGGAAGATTTACATCACAGAAAGTACTGCAAGTCAGGACATGTCTTTTTCTGTTCTGTTCTTTTCTTTATCCCTCCCTCCCTTCCTTTCTTCTTTGAGATTGGATTTACCACCACACTGCCACATATAAAGTACCTGGTACCTAAAAGAGCTCGGTAGGTTATTAATTGCTACTTCCCTAACTATTGCTATAGTTTGGAACTTCAGTGTTCCCAAAGGTCTGTGTGTTTAAGACTTGGACCCCAGTGCCTTGAACCCCTCTTAAGAGGGGTGGACTAGTGGGAGGTCCTCAGGTCACTGAGGATATGTCCTTGAAGGGGATTGTGAGACTCTGAACCTCTTCTCTGTCTCTCTTTTTCGCTTCTCAGCCATGACTGCATGGTTTATGCCATGATGGTCTACTACCAGAATGTGCTTCCTTGATACAGACCTAAAAGTAAAAGGGCCAAACAGTCCTGGACTGGAACCTCCAAAACTTGTGAGCCAAAATAAGCCTCTTCCTTCTGGACCTCAGGTATGCCTGGTTTAAAGGGCTTTTTTGTTTTGGGTGCAATACTAGGAATTGAACTCATGTCCTTGTGCATGCTATGCAAGTATTCTATCAATAAGCTACATCCCCAGTCCTATCAACTTTTAAAAAAAAATTGTGAATTATCTCAGGTATTTGTTAGTTACAAAAAAGCCAACTAACGTAACTACCTTTTCTGAAATCTTCCAGTACCTATAGTTTGAAGTGCATAATTTACTGATACCAATGTTCTTCACAATAAATTCCGTAATTGGCTTCTTTTCAAGAAATGGTACATTTGAGTCTCCAAACTGGATGCAGAATGAAGTGTTACCATAATCTGCCATTTTCCTTGCTTTGCTTTTTCACCTCTCTAAGGAAAACACTAAGCATAGTTTCAGAATTTGGGGAGCTCATTGTTATAATAGGTTTGATCCCCTCTATAGGAAGCATCAGAGTCCCCGCTGTACAATCTCAGGGGAGAGCTCAGAGTGTTAATGTGTCTCCAAAGCTTGCATTATGACAAGAATCAGCACCGGGAGGGGTAGAATATTCTTACTATTTAATAGGTCTAGGTCCAGTCACAAGCTTTTACATATTTGCCTAAATAATCATAGGTGGTGGATTAATTGGAAGATGACACCTGCCATAATATGTAGCTAGGTGATTTCCTAGTGTGCATTTGAACTGAAAACACACTTGACTATCCTGAACATAAGAATCAGCCTAGCAAGCCAAGAGAAATACCCTCTACTATTCTTTCCTGTTGCTCTAAATTTCTCTGTTCCTTTTCTTGGCCTTTCCTCAATGCCCTCTGGTGGAACGAATTTCGAGGCCACAATTAGTGTCCCTCCTCCTACCCAAAAGCTTTCCCTAGAGAGGCAGATTTAAATTACCACCATTAAGACCAGGAGCTCTGGACTAGCCAGGTTCCAATCCCTCTCTCGGGACTTGAGACGATAAACATGCCTTATTTTCCTCATCTGTAAAATCAAAGTGTGTTCTTTAGAATGTTTTTGAATGAAGTAAATAGACTTAAATACATTGAGTTCTTGGATAAATGCCTTGCATAATAATTTCTCTATATAATTATTATTATGATTTCTCCAATTATTCCATCTTTTTTCCAGTTTCATCCTTTTCCCTCCTCAAGAAACTTTTTCTTAGCCTACACATATGCTCACATCTTTCTGCCTTAAAAACAAATAAAAACAAAGCTGGGATGTTTCTTTAAATAGATCTACTCTTTCTTTTCCACATGCTTTTGGAAAAACAAAAAAGTCTACATTCACTCTTCTCCTTCCTGCCCACTCTCTCTCCCATCTTTTGCAATGTGGCCTTACCTTTGCAGCTGTGAGAGCAAGCAATACTGTGCAGATACTCAAAATAGACAGCTGCTCTGATGGATCCAGTTGGCTGGGGTCACACTTAGGTGTTTAGGGGGAGTGGTTGGCAGCACGTGCTATGGAAAACACACAGGTTTAAATCTCAGGACTTTTTCCATGTAAAACACACTATTGTTTTGGAGTTAAAAGTGGAACATTGGAAGTTTAGCCAAAACAGTGTGACATGGTGGAACGAATTGTGAAGTTAGAGTCACAAGACCTGGGCTCAAGTTCTCATTTTGCTTTGTACCTGGTAGATGCTCATCCAAGACTTATTTAAACAACATGAATTATTTGTCCAGAAAATCAGGACTCTTCTCTTCTTAATTTTATAAAAATATACAAGCTATCTAGGTTAAGTCGGACACTGACAGAACCTAAGCAGCAGTTAAGTGTCTGGCCTTAAACCAGGTGTTTTTGTGCAGAAATAGGAAGGGGTCAGAGGGATTTTTCTCTCTGAAGGAAGATTAAGGGAGGAATATGAAGGGTTAATGAAGTTACTGCTGGACCCAGAACTGCCCTTGTAGTTAGAGAAATGGACCTCAGAGGAAACCCTCCCCAAGGGAAGCCAATTTGGCATTTCTTGGTATCATTTATCTGTCTCTTCTTTCTGTAGCTATGCCTCCAGGCTGTTTTTTTTTCTCTCAGGAGAATCTTAACCCCTAAATTCTTCTTGTCATTTGTCTTGAAAAGATTCCCAATATTAAGAGAATTATAAACTATATTGAGCAAAAAGCTATCTTGACCATCCTCATTTTATAAACAGATTGTTACGGCTTAGATTTTAGGTGTCCCCAAATGCTCATGTGTGAAACAATGCAAGAAAGTTTAGGGGTGAAATGATTGGGTTACAAAAGCCTTAACCTAATCAGTGCATTAATCCATTTAAATAGATTAACTGGGTGGTAGTTGTAGGCAGGTAGGGTGTACCTGGAGGAGGTAGTCACTGGGGGCGTCTTTGGGGTATGTATTTTGTCCCTGGTAAGGAGAGCTTTCTCTCACTGGCTGCTTCCTGTTTGCCATATCTGGAGCTGATTTCCTCCTCCACATCCTTCTGCCATAATGTGATGCCTCATCTCCAGCCCAGGGCAATGGAGTTGGTTATCCATGGACTGAGACCTCTGAAACCGTGAGCCCCAAATAAACGTTTCCTCCTCTATGTTGTTCTTGTCAGATCTTTTGGTCACAGCAATAAAAAAGCTGACTAAAACACAGACCCAGAGGGTTGACAGTTAAAACACTAATTATCAGAGAATTTTCTTTATTTGTAGGAAGAAGAAAGTTCTAATAGTTTCTGGCTGGTTAAGGTGACACTCCCATTGCACAATTGCAGTATCAACAATTTAATAATGTCAAGGGATTGAAAGTTTCCTTTATATGGTGGCTAAAAGTATGCTTTCACATGTGGTTGTGGCAGATAAGTTTTGAAATGATGAATGATAAGAGCAATCTCTTTCCTATTTGATTTCACAATCTTTTTGTTTTTCAAAGATACATCTTTAAAATAGCCATTTTCTTCCCTCTGGAAATAGAGCAAACAGATTTATGTTAAGCTTACAGAACGGAAAATTAAAATTTTAATTAAAACATAGAGTATATCACTTGGTTTCCATTATGCTGAACAACTCATTTGATTGACTTTGGTTTCTAAAAGTGACCAACTTTTTGGTATCACATCTGTACAACCTACAGTTTCCTTTATTAAATGCTGACTGAATCTTTTTTTGACCTAATATGTCTTATTTGTTTGTGAGAAATTCAGTGTCTGAGTTTCACATGCAGCACATTTTCAGCCCTGAAGCAAGTTTAACTTGATAGAATATGTTACCTATCTGCAGACTTTGAGTTTCCAGAAGGTTTATATTCTCACATTTCTCCCCTTCTTTTCTTCAGGGAAAGAGTCTATTGAAATTCAAATTGAGAAATGGAAAAAAAAATGAGATCTCAATTTGTAGCACAAAATTTGGGGCATGACTAGTCTCAGGGAGACAAAGATAAATATTTCAAGACTTTCATGGGGAAATCAGCTTGTTTAAGTGCTTGAACAGATGTTCATGTAATCAGAAACCTTTCCTGCCTCCTTTGCAATTATATTCACCCTTCAAAGCCTGTGTCTGTGAGTAGAGTAACAATGATAAGCTATTCCCAGACCTAACTCTGTACATATAACATAGTAATCCTCTCAAATAAGCAGTCTTTCAGAGCATCACAGAGATTCACAGTCCAACACCCTGCTTTTGCAAAGGAAAAAAACCAAGATCCCCAGAGGTGTGGAACTAGTACCGCTCTCTGCAGTCTCTTGCTCTATGGTTGAAAATTAACACTGGTTTATTATCACAGATGCCTTCTGGTGATGATTCCTTAACTGAGGACCTGCAGCTTTGAGTTGGGTAATAGAAGGAGTCACAAATCATTAATGCACCTTTTAACACATAGATATGTCTCCACTAGGATAGCATCAGCCCTGTGGACTTGATTATGTAGATCATCCCCTACATCTGAATACTCTCTGATGGGGTTAACCTACCCTCTTGCTTGACTCCTTTTCCATGAATCTCTTTAATTTCTGTGTCCCACATGCTATCTTGCCATCAACATATTACTCAAAACTTTCATGCACATGTTCATAGTTAACATATGACATGTATTAAGAATTTACTTTGCAAATACTATGATATGCTCTCTCACTTTTTAAACTGGTAAGTTCTTTATGATTTTTTTTTTCATTTAATTCTAACAGCTCCTTGAGATAGATGCTATACATAGCTCCATTTGCAGGAGTCTTGGTTTATTTTGTGCTGGTACAACACAATATCTGGTATTGGATAATTTATAAATTATTAAATTTTATTTCTCACAGTTCTGGAGGCTGGAAGTCCAAAATCAAGGTGCCATGCTCTTCTGTCATATGAAGACACAGCAAGAAGACCTAAAAGGACCCTAAAATGCTCCACCTTCCAACACTGTAGCATTGGATTTTTTTTTTTTTTTTTTTTTTTTTTTTAGTTTTGATTCTTTTGATACTGGGGATTGAACTCAAGAGCCCTCCACTACTGAGCCACATTCCCAGCCCTATTTTGTATTTTATTTAGAGACAGGGTCTCACTGAGTTGCTTAGCACCTTGCTTTTGCTGAGGCTGGCTTTGATACTCCTGCCTCATCCTCCAGAGCCGCTGGGATTACAGGCATGTGCCTCCATACCTGGCTGGATTTCAGTTTTTAATACATGGATCTTGGGGGACACCTTCAGACCATAGTAGCAGATAAGGAAGTCAAGGCTTGGAGTGGTGAATTGACTTACCCAGGATCCAAGAGCTAGATTTTGCACAAAGGATTTCTCAGTCCAGGTATAAGCACTGAATCGTACTACTCACTAATAAATCAACAAAGCACTTCAAGCATCCTCTACCTGCAAGACACCTAGGCAGGCTTTGTGATGGATGCAACTCCGAGCCAGGATGAGATGTCCGAGCACGTATGTAACACACACTTTACAAACACAACCTGTTATATGATGAATGTGATAAAGCAATAAGTTGGTCTATTACATGAGGTCACTGGACTTTAGGGTGAGAATGTTGCCTTTGTGTGTGTACCAGAGACCCCTTGGGCACTCTGGTGAAGCCTATGAAGTCTTATCAGGGTAAATGCGCAAAATTAAAGCATAGGATTACAAAGGAAAGCAACCTCCTAACAATATAGTAAAATAAAAGTTTTAAAATGTAGTAATATAGTAACACAAAAGCTTCTTGATTAACATATTACAAAGCATGATCTAGTGGTATGTTTGATAACTATAGCAATTTTGAAGTAGAGCTGGGCATAAACAATATTTGAGATATTTGCAAGAAATAAATAATATGAAAATATCACATCTAATGCCACTTTGATTTGTGATCAAAGGAAATGTTAATTTTCTTAAGAAATTAAACTAAGTTTCTAACTGAAATGTAATGTTCATTGCAGTTAGAATTTCCCTTTCAACTTATTAAATCCCTAAATTCATAAAGCCCTTCGGAGAGGGAGCTATGAACCTCAAATTTAGAATCCCAAAGGGCTTAAAGGAAGAAATAATCACTTGTCGTCCCAGGGAGTAGATATTGTTTTTTTAATCATATTTTTCTTTTATTGTGGGTAAGAAAACAATATAAAGTTGATCATCTTAACTATTTTTTAGCACATAGTCCCAAAACATTAAATATATTTATATTATTGTACAATGTATCTCCAAAAGCTTTTCATATTGTAAATCTGAAACTCTATACCCATTCAACAGCACTTCTCCTTCCCCTGTCCCCTGGAACCCTCCATTCTGTTTTCTATTTTTGTGAATCTGACAACTTTAGATACCTCATATAAGTGGAATCATGCAGTATTTGTCTTTTTGTGACTAGATGATTACACCTTACACAATGCCCTTCGTGTAGCAGATTGGAGAAGGTATTATTGAGCTATTTTATCATTAGAGCAAGTCCTAAAGGTGCTTCACTAACCTATTCTTTAATATTATATTCAGTTTTTGTTTTTTGGTTGTGCTGGGGATTGAACCCAGGGCCTTGTGCATAGGAGGCAAGCACTCTACCAACTGAGCTATATTCCCCAGCCCACTAGTTTTTCAGTCTCATGTATGTCCCTTTCTTATACAGCACAAAGAGGCTTGAAAAGTAACCTTCAATAAGCTAGTAGTGGGGAAAGTCTCTTTTCGAAATAAATAGATTATAAGCAGCATAAAGATCCCTATTGTGAGAATCAATGACAGGGAGGAGAGTAACAGTGGGAACTGAAGGGCAAAGCTATAGGAAACCAGGTGGATTTATACCTGAACTTGTGCTTGTAACTATAGCTTATCCATCCTAATGTTGCATCCTCAGTGAGTGTGGATGTTATATATTTTCAATGTGCTATGCATTTTCATGTATTAATTTTTCTCATTTCTCCCTAATAAAGACTTACTAAATAGACACATTCTTGCAATAGTATCACATCTATAAGGACTAAATCCCCACATCTCACATTATTTTAAGAGATCACACAGCCTTATTTTTCCAATGTTTCTTTATTTAAAAAGGGATTGCATGACTTTGTAAAGAAATGAATTCAGAAATATTTCAATAACTCTGAGCAGGCGCTTTATTTTCCAGAGTGAGGTATCTGTCCTAATCTGTTCTTAGCACTAGGATGGCAAGGGTAACTTAGGTAACTCAATAGGAATTAAAATTAATTTCACTGCAAGATGAAAACTCTTAATGGAAACCTCATCTCTGAATTAAGCAAGGGTGTTTATGATTATTCACACCTATTCTAATTCACTTTCTAGTGTTCAGGACTATGGTCTTGCAATTGCTTTTTACAGGGCGAGACACTGGCCTTTCTTAACTAAAAAGCAGTGTATGGCATCCAGATGCAGTTTTCATTGCATTTCTACCATGAAGAGTGCCTTCTTCATTTCCTTATCGACCATTTCCATATTTACATTTGTGAGGTGCTTGTTCAGGAGTACTGTCCAACTTTAAAAGTTGGATGGTATATCTTTTTCTTATCAATTTTTAGAATTTAAATCTATCTATCCATCCATCCACCAATTTATTTATCTATATACAAATATTTGCCAGCTTTGATAAGTATGAGTGTGTGTATGCAGATTTCCACATAACAAATATTTTATATCAGTCTGAGGTTTGCTTTTTTCCTATTCTCTTAATAGTAAAATTTGTTGAAAAAATTCTTACTTTTAATTAAATTCAATTTACTAGTATTTCCTTCTATTTAAGAAACTGTGACCTATCCCAAGGTCCTGAAAATATTTCCAATGTTTTCTTCTAGAAATTTATTGTTGTACTTTTCATCTTTAGCGAGATGGTCCATCTTGATATTGTTTTCGAATATGGTTTGAGATAAGGGACAAGAATCCCCCCTGTTTCCTGCTCCCTTTTTGAGCTACCACAAAGTTTTTATAAAATAATTTTCTCCCACTGAATTACTGTGGTGTCTTCATCATAAATCAAGTGATTGATCATGTGGGTGTGGGTCTGTTTTAATTTCTCTAGCTTTGAAACCAGACTTTGTTTTTCTTCTTCAGGACTGCCTTACGTTTTTGACATTTTTCATATAAATTTTACAAATAGCTGTTCCTTCCCACATTTAAAAAAAACTGCTGGGATTTTTATTGGAATTGCACTAAATCTACAGAGCGATTTGGAAAAAATGGATGTCCTATCAATGTTACAACTTTAAATTCCAGGATCATGCTATAGCCAATAATTTACATAGGTCTTCTTTTACTTCTCTCAGCAGTTATTTATAGTTTTTAGAGGAGAGATCTTATACATCTTTCCACTAGTCATTCTACATAATTGATATGTTTGGTGCTTGAACGTTTACTAATTGCTTGCTTCTTTTAAAAAATAGATTTTTTCCCTTTGTTAAAGTTCTCTAACTTTTCTTCTATTTTGACTAACATTTCATACTCCTGATCATATTCATTATCTATGTTTTAAACTTCCTCTTATTAATGTCAATATCTGAATCATCAACGGAGCTGTTTTGAGTCTACATATTTTTCATTTGGAGTTGGAAATTTGATCCTTTTGATTTTTTATAATTTTTGGCATGCATTATCATTTTTGATCAAATGCCAGATGTCTTAACTGAAAAATTATAGAAGCTTTAGATGATGATATCTTTTTCCAAAGATTATGTTTATTTTTTTTTCCTTGGCAGACAAATTAGTCAAGATCTTGTGAAAAAGATAGTTTTATGCTATTTGGGGCTAGTCTATTCCAGTTTTCCCCTATGGCTTTGGACTGATTATTATTTAGCTTTAATTATGACCTCTGCCTTCCTAGTACTGCTGACATATCTAGCTAGGTCTTCAGTTACACAGCTGCTATTTTCTGTTTTCTCTCTACCTTTTCTTCCCCTTCCTTCCTTCCTTCCTTCCTTCCTTCCTTCCTTCCTTCCTTCCTAGTTTTACCCTGTGCATGCTCAGTTTGAGACTACCATTCTTCTCTATTATTCCCCCTTCTCCAAGTCTTTGATCCAAATTCTGGCTTCTACCTTTTCAGCCCAATAATACTGTTGCTTCATATTTGCTTATTCTGCAATTTGTAAAGGTCCTGAGAAAAATATCTAGGGTGACTGTGGAATGCATGTCACAGGCTTCCTTCTCTTTAAGTCTTGCCTCTATTGTTATCTCCAGTGCCTTCAGAAAAATGCTCTATGTGTTTTGTCTAACATTTATAATTTTAAAAATACTTTTTAATTGTCAGTGGACCTTTTTAAAAAAATTTTTTTTTATATGTGTTGCTGAGAATTGAACCCAGGGCCTCACACATGTTATGTAAGTGCTCTACCACTGAGCTACAGCCCTAGTCCTATAATTGTTTTTGAAAAAAAGGTCAGTATAATGTAAACTATTCCATCAGGCTGGAATCCTAAATCTTCTAACTATTCAAACTTAAAACATTTTCTGGGCTGAGCTATCTGTTACTTTTAGACCTTTGGTACATCTCCTAAACTCGATGGCCTCACTTGTATGAATTCTTTGGGAAACTTAAGGAAAAAAATGCTGTTTCATGTTAGGATTAGCATAGGGTGGAGAGAAGAGACCAATCATAGAACAAGAGCTATAAAGAGATAAAAATGCAGTGAAATCAGGAAATGAGAGCAAGCTACCCCTAAGAGACATGCAGGTCACTAGGGGCCAAGACATTGGGAGTGCACAAGAAATGAGAGAAATTCAGTGGGGATTCTTTTTTCCTATTCACATGTTTCCTTTCTCTGAAGGGAGCCCATTTCACTCTGTCTATAGGGAGTAGAATTACTTCTCTAATTAAGAAATTTAGAAAGAAGAGCTGCTTAGATTAAGCTCAACCCTGTCCTTGTATTGCCCACAGAAAACTCGAGCTTTCTCCCTTGTCAGTCTCATCTGGGCAGGTCCCTTCCATGTGGCAATGTATCCCCCTATTGTAACACTGGGACAATGTGTAGGCCTTGGCTTCCATGCATAAGTAATTTGTTTTTCTTTTCCTCAAATCATTGAGAGCCTAGATGGAAAGAAGGCTGCCATTTGTTGGGATATTCTCAAAGATCTTCATCAAGACAGTCTTAGCCATGATGTTCCAGAAAGCAAAGCCCATGGGAAAGATTAAAGTGCTGACTCTGGGTTTTGGAGGTGCAAGCCCAGGGTGGTGAGGATGATGAAACAAACTGAAGTGAACTCAGAGAACATAGGAAGCTATAGGGTGTGATGCGTTGTGCTGGCACCACGAGGTGCAATGAGCTGCAAGGAGGTGGAGCAACGTGTCTTCATTTGGCACCTGTGAATTTTCTGGAGGGTATCAAGGAGAAGTCTCGTCATGGAGGGAAGAAGGAGAGACCTTGGCTGCCTAATCTCTCTCATCTCCCGTTCCCATTGTCCAAGATATACTTCATGGAAGCCTAAGTCTTCTTCCACTTGGGGTGGCTCCTTCCTCAACTGCTCAGGGTGCCAGCTACATACCTTACTGTGTTGCATTTATCTGAAACGTTGGGAATGAAGCATCAAGGATGAGAAGAAAGCAATGAGGGAATTGAAGAAATGCAAGATGCATGTCTGACATAGACTTGAGCCATTTTAACTTTAATGTTATGAGACTTGTTGACAGTATTATCTTGGGAAATGTGGGTCATTCACATGAGTGGTTTTCAGATTACACTAGGATACTCTCTCTTTGCATGAGGAGTCTGACTGTAATGCTGAGAGCTTCTAACCCTGTGGGAAGCCAGTGGTGGCAATACTTTTGGGGCAGGCTCTTCTTTCAGCATTCTTCAGATCCATAGTTATGGAGAGATGGTTTTGGATGTGTGCTTGGGTTGGATTTGGCCTCTATGGAATTTAAACAAAAGATTCCCAGAACTTAAAACATAAAATTATAAGATTACAGAATTTTATATCTGCAAGGAATCTTAATCTTTTTATTCTTTTCTGTCACTTGAAGATCTTCATGAAACTTCTCCATGTTTCCTCCTCCTCCTCCTCTTCTTCCCAAGGCAAAGAGGTAAAGGAGAGACGTCCATGACTGAAACACTGTCCCACATCCCAGTAAATACAGATAGAGTTCCCAAAGAAAATAACCTTTCAGAAAATTGTCCCTCCTACTGTCTCTCTTGTTTGTGTGCAAAGTGTAGGGATCACAACATGCTCGCGCGCGCGCGCGCGCGCGCGCGCGCGCGTTCTCTCTCCATATAAGTGCATCTCCATCTCCTGACTGGTGGGACATTAGCATTGACAACTCCTGCAGAGGGGCCTGTGAACATATTTGCCTGCCCCAGATACTCAGTAAAAGCTGTGGGAGGGAGGCCCCCTACTGACCCACTCACTGAATGAATGGATGAAACCCCAGTTTGCACAGCAACTGTGATGAAAATGAGTTAGGTTGGTATGTTAGAGTGTAGCCAGGCATAAATGGAGGTGTTCTTTCTCTACTGGAGAACTTGCACCTATTTTGCAGATTATAGAGTTTTTTTTTTTTAATTTACATGGGGAAGAACTTTAGAATTCTGCAGGCTGTACTGTTCTAGGGTAAATTCTGGGGTACTGTTATAGTTGGAGACTGGGCTCAAATGTCTCCTTGGGTGAACCCAGGGTATGCTGAAGTTCAATATGGATGAGGATGAAGAGGGTACAGGCAACAAAATCTGTGGATAAAAGCTTAATTACATCCCCAATTAGAAGAAGTGTGGAAAGGAGCTGAAACTAGGTATGCAATCCTGTTATTCAAGACGTAATTCCTAAGTTACACAACATTATCAGACATTAATCTAGAACAGAAATTCTCAAATATTTTGGTCTCGGAACTCCTGTTCAGTCTTCAAAATTATTAAGAACCCAATCTAACTTTTGTATGTGTGGATTATATCGTCTGATATTCATCATACGCTATGGTTTGGATGCAGTTGACCCTAAATGTTCATTTATTGAAGATTTGATCCCAGCATGGTGACGTGAGAGGTGATAAAACCTTTAAGAAGTAAGACCTACTGGGAGGTCTCTAGGTTACTGGGGATGTGCCCTTGGAAGGGACTACAGTCTCTTGGTCTTTGTGTTTCAAGATGTGACCACTTCTCACTCTGTTGCAAGAACTCTCACTGTTGCCATCCACTATGAAGTGATGTAGTCAAAGGGGCCCAAACCAGAACCAGCACCTTGCTATTTGAACTTGTGGCCTCCAAAACTGTGAGCTAAACAAGCTTTTTTTCCTCCAACAAAGTTAACCTGCCTCAGGTTATTTCATTATAGTAAGACAAAACTGACTAATACGTTGTATTGAAATAAAAACTGAGAATTGCCAAAATTTATTTAAAACAATGACAAAACCATATATGTACCAAAAATTTATAAAAAATAACTTATTTCTTTTAAAAGTAGTAACAAATGGCACTGTTTGTTATTCCTATAAAATATTTTCAAATCTTTGTGCTAACTAGGAAATCTCTGTCAGTTAGAGAAATGTCTTCTGTTAGAAGACAATTGGATTCTCATATCTAATTTTGCATCCAGTCTCTTGTGATATTACACATCATGTAGCCTCTGGAAAATGGTTATGTATACTTGAGAAAATGAGTGTAGGGAACCTATGGTTTGGATATGATTTGATTGCATTCCCCAAAGGTTCATGTGCTGGAAGCTTGGTACCAATATGGTAAGTAGTGTTGAGTTGGATCCTTTAAGACATCGTGCCAGAGGATTGTGGTTAGATCATAGGGCCTCTACCCTCAGAAGGACATAATATTAGTTTCAAGGAGTGAGTGAGATTTTGTAAGAGTAATTTGTTATGAAGTGAGGACGCCCAATGTGCTGGGTCCTTTTGGTCTTCTCTATTGTATTGTGGTGCAGCAGGAGGAACCTTGCCCTATGTTCTCAGACCACCAGAACTTGGAATCCAGAGCTCAATGTGTCTCTTTATAAAGTACTCTGGTTATTTTGTTACAGTAGCATAAAACAGAATGATACAGTGAAAAAGGCAAATAATACTTTAACAATATTATGAAAATATTTTTGACCTCAAAAAGGTCTCAAAAGAAACAGATTTCCCAAACCATACTTTGAGAATGCTTAGTTGAGAATTTTCTGGTGAAAATTAATTTTTTTTTTACTTTTCTTTTTTAAAACAAGGATATTTATTTTAGGGAGGTTCCCATTTCTTTTTTTCCACATTTTTTATTGGTGCATTACAGCTGTACACAATGATGGGATTTGTTGATACATATTCATACATACACACAATATAATTATATATTTTGGCCAATATTACTTCTCAGCACTTCTCCCCTTCTTCCCCTCCTTCCACCCCTTGGTCCTTTTCTTCTGTTCTACTTATCTCCTTTTGATTTTCATGAGACACCCACCCTAACCTTTCTGTTCAAAACAAGGATATTTAATACCCATAAAAATAAAAGGTGACTATGGCTTCTCATTCATCATTAAAGTTAATGATTTGAAGAGTTGGTAGTTTAACATCAGTAGCTCTTGGAAAATCTATTTACTTTGAATTTTTTTCCTTCAAACTTTGACCTTGCTGGTAAGTACACTTCTACTTAAATGCTATTTATTCCTTTTAAAAGAGCAAAAAGAAAAATTGTATTTTTTAAAAAATCCTATTTTTGATTTTTCTTCTTTAATTGAGCCTTTTTCTCAATAGAAACACACTTGGTCCTGTGTATCTGTGGATTCTGCATCTGTGGATTCAACCAATCTCAGCTCAAAGGTATTTAAAAAAATACTAAACATCTACAGACGTGTTTCATCAGTTCCTAGACAATACAGTATAGCAACTATTTACATAGCATCTACATTGCATGAGACATCATAAATAATCTAGAGATGATTTGAAGTATTTGGGAGGATGTGTGGAGTTTATGTAAAACTGTAAGGGATTTGAGTTTCTGTTGACTGGGTATCCAAGTAGGGTCCTGGAACCAATCCCCTGTGGATACTAATGAATGGCTGTATATATGAATTGTTCAAAATTCAAAAGACATGAGGGTAAACATTGGAAAATTTTCTTTTCACTCCTCTCCTTTTTAGCTATTTAATTTCCCTTTTTGGCTATCCTTCTAGAGATATATTATCCACATCTATATGTGTATATATATACACACATATATATACACACACACGTGTGTGTGTGTGTATGGGTGGGGAGAAATTTCTTCATCTTTAACAAAATAAACAACTCAAATAGAAAATTCCAATGGCAGAGGTAACTATTGCTCTCTGGTTCTCTTATTCTGATGGGTTCAGAGAACAGCATACCATATTTAGGGATATTCACATAAGAAATTCTGGGCAATGGTTGTGAGCAGGTGGGATACCTGTTGCCACTGCCAGTCCAAGAGAGTCTGCAACTTTCTTTTGACACAACAACCCAGAAAGTCACATATCCAGATGGCAGTGGCATAAGTGGTTGAAGCCTCCATCAGCTTTGAATTATTAGGGACAGTATGTCCCTCTTCCAACCTGTACTGGATACTAAGCATGAACTAGAAATAAACTTTTGTCCTATGTTAGACCACCAAGATTTTGTGGTTAGTTTGTCACTGCAGCACAAATGGACTTATCCTGACCAATACAAATACTATATCACTGTTCTGCATTTGAATTTTTTTCTGTTCTCAATATTTCTTAAAGAGTACCATTATCAACTTACAAAAAGCTTTCTCTTTTGTTTTCGGACTCCATAGTATTCTACTTTATGAGTACAAAATAATTTATTTAAATAATCGAATCTGCATTGAGCACCCTGTAGGCTGCTCAGCTAATGTATATATAGTATAGAACTATTGTTGGGGGAAAAAAACCCAAACTTGCTCTGAATGGTTTTCTCAAGTGGCACCAACTAAACCAAGATTGGGGAAATCTCAGAATAAAAGGGGGAAACCAAGAACAGACCAATCATTATTCATTCAGGAGGAACTCTTCTGGAAGTTGGAGCCCAGACAATGTATAAATTACTTTCAAACCTCTGAAAACATAGTTTGCATTAATGTTAACTGGGGGAAAAAAGATGAAACCACATGTAGCTCTGACATTTTTCACTGAAAGTTGCTAAAAAAAAATAACTTGATGATTAGAGTTGAGCTGACCCATAGTGTTCAATACTGGTCTAAAGAAAAAGCATATGTAACTGTCCTAGAAATTTGAGATAAAATTAATGTAAAACAATGAACTCTTGAGCATTCAGACACATGGCAAGAAAGTGCGTGTGGTCTGTGTGAGGACCATAAGGTGAAGAGAAAAGTTGGGGATGGGTAGGAGATTCTTAAGGAGGTGGGTTTCTCAGTTCTTTAAGAGCATTGGTAGAGAGTACAAGTGGCTACAGGGGACAGCCCAGGGGTGATCTGCCCAGTGTTCTGTCTCTTCTGCTTCTTTTCAGTGACCCTCTGGAAGCATTCAGGGTCCTGAGGCTGCTCAGATTTCCCATGCTGTGCTTCCAGGAGACCTGGGCTGGGAGTGGAGGTGAGGTGAGAGGTAGGAGGTTAAGAGCTGGATCTGCGTTTTCCTGGATGTGTGATTTTCACCAAATTTCTTAATTCGCTAAGAAGACTTTGAATGCAAGCAACAACAACAAAAAAAAACCCGGCCTCAAAGACTGAAACAAGAAGAATCAGGCTGGGATTGTGGCTCAGTAGCAGAGTGCTTGCCTCTGAGGCACTGGGTTCGAACCTCAGCACCACGTAAAGATAAATAAAATAAAGATATTGTGTCCATGTATAACTAAAAATATATTTTAAAAAGAAGAATCGCTGTTCTCTCATTTATTGTGAAATCTAAGGTAGAACTTCTTAGGGTTGCTAACTTAAGAGTTTTAGAACATCAAGAAGACTCCAGGTTCTTTCCGTCTTTCTATTCTGCCGTCTTTAATACGTAAGTATCATTGTTAGCCTTTTGATTCCCTGAGTCACATCCAGATGCAGTGTATAAATGGAAGATAAGGAAAAATTTGTTGCCATGTGTCTCTTTTTTATTAGTAAATAATCCTTCTCCAAAGGCCCCTCAGCAGACTTCCTGAATGAATAACTGAACATAACTAGGTCACTTGCTCTTGCCCAAGACAATCTCCAGCAAGAAGAATGGGGTTCCTGGGATGAGCCTCCTTAATCTGTAGGCATACAGAGCCACTTGGGGAGGGATGGCAGGCACCTGAATAAAACCTAGGCTTGGCCAATGAGGAATGAAGGAGGTATTAGGTACAAGCACTGGTGTCTGATGCACTTATGTTTGCTGAGCCTTAGTTTCTTACCTGCAACATGAGGTAATAATAATGCCTATCCCACATGGTTGCTAAAAAGATTAAACACAATGATATGTGGAAGGCATCTAGCACATGTGATGTTAGCTCTTGCCGCAGTTGTCATTATTGGAATACTGATAAAAGAAAATACCTCAAAAATTGTTACTAAAATCACTGAAAGCCTCATACATATATGTGAATGGATATCAAATCCCAACAATACAGTCACATGGGTAGAACAACCTTTCTTCTCAATTGATAGTATTCCATAGGTTAGCATTTATCTTTTTATCTTTGATCTTGGATGAGTGGAATTTTGACTGGTTCTATCTTGTATAAATTTGAGAAAAGAGGTTTGGACAAGTTTTATTTTGTTTTTCCCCCTAAAATAGTTCTGTACCACACACATATTTGCTAAGCAAGTTTGAGAATGCTCAATATGGAGAAAGACTGGATTATTTAAATAAAACTACTTATAGTAATTTATTTTTGACTCTATGCCATATACTACAATAAGAGCTTTACATATATGTTTTTTCTAATCCTAACAACAAAATTGTATGCATCCATTCTTCTTGTTCATTCATTGAACATATATTAAATTTCCAGAAATTTCATTTTACAGAAGAGACTGGGTTTTAGAGAGGTTGAGTAACATGCCAAGTGACACAGCTGCTAAAGTGGCCAAGTTGTGATTCATGCTTAGGTTTGTTTGGCTCTGCTGCAGGAAAATCCTTTGAAACTTCTTTCTCTGAAAGATTCTTCAGTATTCGATTTCACCAGACGTTGCCCATTAAAAATGAGGGTGGCAGAAGCAGCTGCAGGGGCTTCAGCACACACTCTAAGCTCTGGAGGCGGGAACAGTCTCTTAAGGTCCACTCTGGTCATCGCACTTCTCAGGAAACTGAGGTTGGTTCTACTTGTCTCCAGCAGGTGGCAGGCTTGTATCAGCAGCATTGCCTCCTACTTTTAAAGAAACGCAACTGGGGAGAATGAATTATTGGCAAACTGCAGAAATCATCACTTACCATTTTTTCTCCAATCTACAGCACCTGTAGCTGGTCCGGCTGCCCGCATCCAAGAAGTGACAGATGGATAACTTCATCTAAACAAACTTTTTAGTTTTGAAAAGTGCTCGTAGATCTTTTATACACATTCATCCCAATTTCAAACATGGAGTCATTTAGAAAAGGTATTATTGACCTCTATAGTTATTGCCTCTATTTGTCTATGTAAATGCCACAAAGTACATAAAGTAGTGTCTATGAGTTACTATTTTTGTGAACCTAATGCTTGGTGTTTGTGACTGCTCAGTTGGTTTTTGTAGAATGCAATGAAAACCTTGTAGGACGATGATCTGAGTTTGATTTATGACTTGGTCATTTTCTACTTGGGAAGTTTTTAGTAAGTCATTTTTGAGGACTGGGAGTGTAGCTCAGTGGTGGGCAAGTGTTTGGCATGTGATCCTTTGTTCAATCCAGCACCCCCAACACCCACAGTCATTTGTTCTCTGAACCTCAGTTATTTCCTCTCTAATGTGACGATTCCTGAGCTCACTTGTGAGAATGAAAGACATGAAAAGGACTATGTATAATATTTGTTAGAAATAGTAATAATTTTCAAGTGATTGGGCCAAAGTTGTAAAATGTGTTAGGGTTTTACACTTCTTAATAGGATTTATAATATAAAATTCTGGGGTGTTAGAATTTAGCCATCTAATTTAGATGACATCTCATCTCTGGTTTGTATTTCCTGCCCACAGCTCAAGTATGTACTTGTTACCCTACATGGAGAATCATTGGGGTGGCAAAGTAATCTGCTTATTCTCTGTCCTGGCTCCCATTTTACTTCATTGGACAACAACCTTTACAGAGGTTTTTCAGGGAGGCCTTTCCATAATCTGGCTTTGACCTGCTTTCTCACCTGGCCACCATTGTCTACCTACCCATGTCTGTGCACAGAGTCAGCAGCAGCAGCAGCAGCAGCAGCAGCAGCGGGTTTGTTCTTGGAACCTAGATGCCCTGTGCATTTTTACTTCTCAGCTTGTGTGTGCTCTCTTTCCCCTGAAAGTCTTCTCCTTCGTCTCTTTACCCCTGTGTTAGCCAGCTTTTCATCATTGTGACAGATACTTGACAAAACAACTTGGAGGAGGAAAGATTTATTTTAGTTCACAGTTTCAGAGATTTCTGCCCATGGTTGGCTGGCTCCATTTCTTTGGGCCTGAGATGAGGCAGAACACCATGGTAAAAGGGTGTGGCTGAGAAAAGATGATAAGTTAATGCCAGCTGGAATGCGGGGGGCACTGTGGATAAGAAATGCCATTCCAGAGCATGCTCCCAGTGCCCTTCTTCCTCTGTACCTATGGTGCCTACGTGCCCCGGTGCTTACAGTTTCCAGCCCCCTCTTCTGCCCCCAGCAGCCCATTCTGCTGTGAATAGATTAATCCACTGATGAGGTCAGAACCCTCATGAGCCAATCACTTCCCAAAAGCCTGGTCTAAATATTATTGCACAGGGAACCAAGCTTTCAACAATTGAGCCTTTGGGCTACACTTCATATCCGAACCATAACAACTCTGAACCACATCCTTCATCTTCTATGATGGCCTCCGCCAGCCTATGTTGAGTGCCCGCCTTTGACCTCCTTTGCTCTTAGGAGGCCGTACAGGTCACTGGATATTTAAGGGCATGGTCTTTGGTGTCAGACAGACTGAAATCAGATCCTGGTAAGTTATTTAAACTGTAAGTTTTCTTATCCCTAAGGTAAAAAATAATAATAGTCCCGTAAGCTGTTTTAGGGATTGAATGAAATAATATATATATATATATATATATATATATATATATATATAAAGGACTTACAACAGTAAATAGATTACTTGATACTTTTTTATTGATTTTTGTGGACTGTGCTTCATCTTTCTAGATATACAGTCAACTTAATATATTCAGGGACTGAATACACACACACACACACACACACACACATATAAAACTGGGATTGAACCCAGGGCCTCATGCTTGTTAGGTAAGGGCTATACCACTCAGCTACATCCCTGGTTCTCAGGGGTCATAGTTTATGTTTCTTTGATTCTTTCTTTTGCCCTGTACACTCCCTGAACATGATAAGTATACCATAAATACTTTTATTGCTTGATCATTATTAACTATTATTAAGAGATAAAACTGATCCTTGAGATAATCTTTAGCAAAGCTGCCTAGACACTGATTGAGGATGATATTGGTACGTGCTGAGAAACTACAGAGTTTTCTAACTACTAGACGGTGGGTGCTACATTCAAAATTCAAAGTGATCTGTATCATGCTAATATATATCTTATTATGACAAAGCACTTATTTTCTATAATTTGGACATTATCTAAAGGATCAGGAATAAACAAAAAGAAAAACATGATAAGTTTTAAAATCATATTGATGATGAATAGGACCTTTGTACATTTTACCAGCCAAGAGGATATAAAGAGCTTGAGTTGGCCCTGGTCTCCCACACATCTCTTCTCCCTCTACCTAGCTGTGGCATTTTGTGATGGCAATGGTATAGAATGGCCCAGGGCCAGAATTCTGCTGCTTTTCTCCTTTGGTTTTCCTGATTCTCAAAAAGCACTACACTGCTTTCTCTCTCCCTGCCAGAGGTGGAAGGGGTTGCATAGCTCTTCCCAGCCCCAAATAAAGATGATTGTACCTGTGGTCACAGGAGACAGAGATCTGTTTCTCAAGCCTTTTGTGTGTGGGCTTGGAACCCGAGGTTTAAATGTCACTTCTCTGGAGAGCCAGGACATTCTTCATCCCAGCAAAGTAGCCCAGCCCCTCACTTTGTCTGAGTGGTATCCTGGGGTCCCCCTGCTGCCCATGAGAATCAAGAGCAGAAAGCAGTTCTTGAGACCCAGGGACGGACCCTGTATTTGAAAGTGATACATAAAGAGGCAAGAGGATTCCTGTGAAGGGATTCTCGTAAAGGGAAGCCACACTAAGGCTATGATATAAAATGGTGAGAGCAGATCAAGCCAGCAGTGGTGAAACACATCTTCCTCCATAAAAATAATTAACAGTTGGACTCAGATCTCAATCCAAAATCTGAATTAATTTAATATAAGGAATTGAAAAAAACTTCTCTTTGGGGGAGTCTCTAAAACATACAACTTTTGTTTTCAGAGCAAGGTTGGAAATTAGTGGTGATTGCTGTACAGGCTAGAGTAACCCACTGGAAAGCGTGCCCCTCACCCCAAATGCTGCTTCCCCCCAGCTTGCTTTAGGCTAGATTAATTCATGATTCAGATCACCCAGGTACCACAGAGACAGATGCCATAGAAATGCCAAAATAAACTGGCATAGCGGTACACACTTGTAATACCAGTTACTCAGGAGGCTGAGGTGGGAGGCTTCCAAGTTCAAAGTCATCCTGGGTAACTTAGTGAGACTCTGTCTCAAAATAAAACAAAAAGGGTCCAGGTGTAGCTCAGGGGCAGAGCATTTGCCTAGAGTGCATGAGGTCCTGGGTTTGATTCCCAGCACTGAGAAAGTGAGTGGGGAGAGAACTACTAAAATAAATGGATGGAATTGGATGCTGAAGCATGTTCAATAGAGAATCCGGATTATAGACAGTGCTCTGTGGCCCGCTGAGGTTGCATTAACTACCCTGGTTACCTGTGGAGAGATTGAGGGACTGGCCCATGCCATTTTATTGCTGTAGTTGATGCTTTTGCTCTACAGAAGGAACCATGAGAGAGAGGGTGTGCTTCAGGTAACTATCTGGATTAGGTATAAATGAAGAAGTAGGGCCTGGTGTTGTTTGTCACAAAACAGCTCAGAAAAAAAAGAGAAATGAAAACCAGCCACACATGCAACAACCTCAAACATCTGGGCTCATTTTCTGATCCAATAAAAACTAAAAATGAACTCCATACACTATATAAGGACAGTAGGAATATCCACTATCCCAGAGGAGAAAGAAAGAGTGAAACAAACTAAAGAAAATGAATGAAAAATGGATGGCACTGGGTAGAACATTCTGACATCACATCAAAAGAGGAAATGGTCAGGGTTGTAGGGAAAGGGCAGCATGCTGAAGGGGATTGGCCATGCAGAGATGCAGTGCATGCCACAGCCAGTGGGGGGCAGAGGAGCTCCATGTCCAGGAGAATCAGGCCAAGCCTACTGCTCAGCACATTTAGCCCCAAACCTACAATTCTACAATCCTGCTAACAGGAAACCACCTGGAACTCAACTCCTCTCCTCTGCTCCCCACCCCCCCTTTCTCTACAGGCCAAGCAAAATGGTAAAAACAAAGGAGATAGCTGATCTCATGTGCTTTACCACAAAGACCGGTTTTGACTTCAAAGCAGGGTGCTTGTTTCATGTTTTCTTTTGCTTATTATCTTCTCATCCCACTTGTTTCCAGCAAGAACCCCTGTGTGGATCAGGAATACAGGACACTCATCTCCCCCAGTAAAGCACGTGCACACCCAAAATCAAGGACTCTAGCTGATTTCTAGGATTCTTATTTACTAGTGTTCAGAACTTTATTTATTTATTTTTTTAAGCCAATGGCAGTTTGAAAATAGAGCTTAAGAGGATGGGTGGGCCTAATTGGTTTATTGGTTTACACAGGCATCCAGGCTGGAGGTGACTCATGAAAGTCAATTATAAACATCTCTTCCTGCCACCTAGTTAAGTTATGTCATGTTGGTAGTTTGGCAGGAGCCATGGTGGGAGTATTATTGTCACAAAAATGGGCAAAGACTGCAAATCAGGGCTTTCCCCCTGTATTAGTTCGCTTTCCATTTCTGTAACAAAATACCTGAGATAATCAAATTAAAAAGAGACAAGTTTATTTTGGCTCCTGGTGTTGGAGGTTTTAGTCCATGGTTAGTTAGTCCCATTGATTTGGAGCCTGTGGTAAGGCAACCCATCATGGTGGTAACATGTGATAAGGTAAACTGTCACTTTATAGCCAGTATGTGAAAGAAGAAGAACCTGACCAGGGTCCTACTATCCCCTTTCAGGGTATGATCTCAAAGACAGGATCCCACCTTCTAAAGTTTCTACTTCCTCCTGATACCACTAATCTGGGGACTAAGACTTTAACACATGGGCCTGGGGGACATTGCAGATCCAAACTATAGCATTCCATAGAAAGTTGGCTTTAAACACCTGTCAGCGTAGTCATGATCCCATGCTCTAACACCATTCATGCTCAGGCCGGAGTACATCTCAGAAAGAGAGAAGGGAGCCATATCTGACAGCCAAAGGACTTGCCTGTATGAACCTTTCCAGAAACTATCATCAACAATTGTATAAGGATGTCTTTCCTATCAGAGAGAAGCAAGGAATTAAATAAAAATTTCCTACATAATTTTTAACTATTAAATTGCTATGCTAAGTGGTCCATGAAGCCACACGCCCTCTTTTACAACCTAATTTTAGGCCTTGGGGAAAATGTGAGCCTCCTTAGAAAGATCAGTTTCGTGGTTTCTACAAAGCAAAAACCCAGAAGAAAACAGTGGCCATCTTTCTCTTTGATGATGATGAGGAACTGCTGAACATGTCATATAATTGTACTGCTTATGAATTTAAACTCACAAGTTAGCTCTTAGAAAAAGTACTCTTTTGTAGTCATGGACTAACTTTCACCCTAGTCAGTCCCTCAGAATTGCTGGAAGACACTCATTTAGACCCTACTGGACTGTGTTGGTAGCATTTTCTGCAAAGGAAAAGTATTTAGGCTCTTAGGTAACAATCTATATTTTAGATATTTTGAAGTAGAAAATTGGCCTGCCTGGCAGAGTCCTGCCTACACAAGGAAGATGGCCAAAAAGGTGTAGGTATAACTCTTTGGGCTTTAGAGACAAATTAGAAGTAATGGATGGGAGGATTGGGGACATAATTCAGTGTCATGAGGTGATGTGAGCCAGGTTCCTCACTGTACAAGAAGAAAATAAAACAATATAGAAAAGGAGAAACCTAGAGTGACCCCTTGA